CACCAAGTTGGCTTGTTGTAAGCCAAAAGCAAGTTACACTCAGTTGGCTTGTTGTAAGCCAAAAGCAAGTTACACCCAGTTGGCTTGTTGTAAGCCAAAAGCAAGTTACACCCAGTTGGCTTGTTGTAAGCCAAAAGCAAGTTACACCCAGTTGGCTTGTTGTAAGCCAAAAGCAAGTTACACCCAGTTGGCTTGTTATAAGCCAAAAGCAAGTTACACCCAGTTGGCTTGTTATAAGCCAAAAGCAAGTTACACTCAGTTGGCTAGCCAAGTCAGCAACCGTATAGGACGACAATGTTTGGTGGCAGGGATTTCAAACTTACACTTCACTCTTCATATTGCAAGTGGAGCTCCTTAACCACCGGGCCGGACGTATCCGTGTACATACTAATAACACAAATGTGATCTATGTATGATGTTTATCATACATAGCTGTTACGATATCTTCTGGTTTTTCCTTGTTTATATATTAATTGTCAAAAATAACTAGTCGGATATTTGTTGTATTAATTAAACTAATGGTATTTACACTCTTGGATGAGCTCTTATTTGCAAAATTATTAACATCACATTACTACGTCAAAGTGATTTTTGACTGATCAATTACGGAAGTGCCCTTGTGTGGTTTGACCTAGAACTGAATTCCATTGGTTACAATACACCAGATGTTCATTGGAAGACAGATACTGAAAAATCCACCCACCTTTCATTTCTAAACAAATCAAATTACTATCCAGATGCAGAATTTAAATGCATTAATGCTGCCCTCTTAAGTCAGAGATTATTACTAGGGCTGGGTGAATCCTTACCGCTACATCCTGTTGATCCTGGTCAGTCTTCTTGTTATCAATAGTCACATGCTTCATTTGAGGGATAAGTACTTCTAATGTTGCTCTAGCTGTTGGAAGAGAGTGATAAAAAAGACGGCCGTAAATCTGATATTTGGTTTTATTTTTAACAATGTTGGAGTTTATAATTCCTTTGAAGCACGTTTATTAAGGCTTAATCTGTATTATTATTTCTTTCCTCACTGTTATTCTTTATTAATCTCATACGGTGTCGATGTAATGTTGTTCTTCAGACAATAACTACTTCAATAATGTTTTTAAGGAGCTGTACAGAGATCATATTTAGTAAAATAAGTATTAGTTTATTCAGAAACTTGAAAAAATTCTGTTGTGCTACTAAGTAAAAGAAACAAGTCCTAATGTTGTGAAAGTAAGTTCCTTTTTTAAAAATACACTGATACTATTAACGTGATTTATATACAACGAATGGCATATCGAAAATTCATAATTAAGCTTACAGGTGAAGTCGTCATCTTCACACACAAAAAATTATTTATAAAAATTTTTCATTATTGTTTTTCATTACTGGCAATAAAAGGTACAAATATTAACAGTCAGACTGACAAATTAAAAAAACACCAATCATTCTACGTTGTAACTGACACCCAAAGCCAATCACTTCATGAACTCACCAGCTTCTGATTTGGCCTGTTTTTTGCTACTTCCGTAACCCGTGCCATACTCCATGTCATTAATTATCACTGTGGCACCATACGGCATTGATGCATTCTCTGATAGAATGATTCAAAAAGAAATCACTGAATAAAACACACAAAAGAAAGTTTACAGTAATATCATGTTTCATGTCCAGACATGCTTTTAATCAACCTGCAATCTGTGTATTCAATAGTTAACATGTTGGTTGGTAGCCTACACAAACACTCATTTTTAGCTCATTACTAACTGATTAACGGGTTATGTTTCAATTATTTTAACACTGTATGCTTATTATATTACACACAGCTCTAGTCATAATGTGAACTGACGTAAAGTTGGAAGCACCGTTAGTAACAGCTTGAGGTGTTTCTGAAATAACAGTTCACACAGTAAAATAATAAACAACCTTAAAGAAGAGCTATTGTAAGATTACCTGTAATTAATTACAATATCTATTAACAGTTTAACCAAATGTGCATCCATTAGTAACAGCTTGAGGTGTTTCTGAAATAACAGTTCACACTGTTACAGCAATCAAGTAAAATAATAAACAACCTTAAAGAAGAGCTATTGTAAGATTACCTGTAATTAACTACAATATCTATTAACAGTTTAACCAAATGTGCATGGGCTCTGTCCATCGGACTGACACTGAATTGGAAAAGAAACATTCACAATAGTTCCAAATTTGCCACGTGAGTCTATATGAAAGTTGACAAGCTTTTAGCAAAGTGTAAAAATCTGTTATATGCAGAGAATCATGTGTTATAAACATATTTGTACTCAAGGTAGGTCTGTGAATTGATGACCCCAGTCTAAGTCGATACACAAGGTGATGTTAATATCAAGAATCACTGTACGGCTTGTGTATTGTATTTGCATCACCTCCAGAACCCCCACAATCCATATTTATATTATTTCAGTATCCTTGTATATTTTCTCTGCCATTTACTCTCCCCCACCACAAACTGTTGCTAAATCAGTAGTAGAGAGTAAAATGAATCCAACATCAATTACATAATACCTTGTTGATTGGCACTCTGTAAAAAAGGTCATGGCTTGTGCACTCTGACCCGTACAGGATTATTGTGATTTGTTAATAATCAGAAACAAGAATCGGTATTAGGTCCACGGTTATCTCAAAATGTAAGTTTTAACTTCATTTGATGGACAACAAAGTGTTGAGAACCGCTTGTCAAACTTTGGAAAATAAATTGAAATGTCCGAAATGCCAAGAGCAAGATATAACTCATTTGATGAAACGATTGAACCTTAAAGCACATATTTAAGGTACTTTTAAATAACAGATGGAAAAGGCAGTTGTATGAACAGAAAATTGTTAAAAGAAAACAACACTGAGGAATATTAGTTGATTCTCTGTAGTTCTATTTCAATAATAACTATTCAACTGCGTATTTTAGGTAAATCGCATGATTTCAAGAATGCTAAAGGTTTAGAAAACCTTATTACTGTGGAAAGATAACATAAAACATAACCAGAGAATTTATAAATAAATTGTGTGCAAAAATTAAAAACCTTTCAGGAAAAAATATACAATTAATTTTACCTTCTGATAATCTTGTACATAAACACCTTAATTTCAACTAGGTTGGGGTGAGCCAGTAATTTTGTAAGCCAAGAATTTTTACACCCTAGTGGCCGAGCCAGATAGTAACCATATAGGACAGGCATGTTCGGCAACAAGGATTTGAATTCGTGGTTCTCAAATTGCAAGTCCAGCGCCCCAACCACCAAGCCATACTAGGCCTTAATTTTACCACTAGAAAATACTAACTAAAGACAACAATACATATTTATAACTTTGTAAACTATAAATGATTAGAATGCGAACTGTCACCTACCCAGTTCTTTAAAGACGTAGCGGGGTTGAAGCTTCATAGCATGTTGAACGTACTCGTGAAGAATACAAATAAAGGACTTTCCACTTGGATTCATAACAAATTCTGCAAATAATTGTAAATGTGGCAAGGTTTTTTTTTTAAAACAAACTTCTTAAGATAATGTGGAAATACGCCACGAAAATATATGCCAATTTTTACATTGTCTCGTTTATTTTTAAGGTTTACCAAAATTCATGTAAAAACACAGCCTTACTTATTTACTTAAAGAACTGTAGTAAAATAACGTAACGTTCGATTAATATGATGAAAAATTATATTAACTAATTCAGCATTCCATCTTAATTGAAAAACTCCTTTCAGTTTTTCAAACAAATATTATTCACTAATTTACGGTTTTGTTGATGCATTTTGATAATTAGCTATAACCCAAAATAAAATAATTTACATATTATTATTTAAGCTCTATCTAATCTTCTTTTTTTAAAAGAGTTTAAAACTTATGCGTAAAAACTACACCTCTTTTGGCTCCACTAGTTTGAGGGGGTCCTTTGTCTGGAGCTGAAGGCAGGGGACAGGTTATCAATTTTGTGCCCTCTGGCTAAAGTTTAGAACAGAAAAATTAGTAATATGATCAGTTTTTAAACACAGATTACATATTGTTAAATTGCCAATAAAAGTATCTAGGACCTTAATAATTGGCCACCGGTCAGTACAACAATACCGGGTGGGCCATAATGTTCAAATGGACCCAAATATTTTCTTTTAATGATAAAAAAGAAAAATTCAACTATGAATACAGTTGTTTTTGAATTATGAGTATGTTTTGATGTCGATTCCATTCACATAAGTAATAGTAAGGTTATATAATAAAAGTTGGAAAATAACTCTAAAAGGTCATGACATGTGCTCTTTAACCTATCCCCAGTGAAAGGGTTAAATGATAGCTGATTAGACTGTTTAAAATCGTGTTGTGATCAGGTTAAATCAGCAGTGGTTTAGGATGGCATTTATTTCATCAAATACTTAAACAGATAAGATTTAAAACTTTTTTTTCTTTTTCAGTTATTTTGCCATTAGTCTTCTTAGTTTAATATATGTTTTAATTTCTTAATTTAAAAGGAAATATAAATTCTAAATATCAATTTTTGTTTCTCACGTAGCACCATCTATTGTCTTATTACTCGGTTTATATTTTATCATGCCTACCATAAAACGTGTACGGTGGTTAACGACTTAGAAACCCGAATTTGAGATACGGACAATGTCTATATTGTTTTTTCTTTAACGATAACACTGAAAAAAGATGTATAATGACCTCTTAAGTCAGCCTATCAATTTGGTACCTGTATGGTGGAAAGGTAACATTGACACAAGTCTTACTAATTCAGTAATTTATTCACAAACATTAATTCATTAACAAATTCTACGGGTGACTGATACATCCTAACAATACTGAATGGAAACACTCCTGAGAGAGATATATAAAGAGATCTACTAACTTTTGAAGACCTTTTTTAAATAACATTATGTAGAGAATTTTTAAGGACTGAACTGGAAAAAATCATTATGTCTTTAATTTTGAAGAAAAGAAAAATAGAAAGTCAGAGAATGGATCGATAAAGAACGTACCAAGGTTGGTCTATCACGTTGCTTTACCATCTTTTGATGTTTCCTTCGGCCAGCCCACGTCCTGTGAATGTAGAGTATAAGCAAATGAAACATTTCACTACTAAAGATAATCATGTTGTGAATTAGTTGTTGTTGTTGTTTTTTTTTAAATTAAAACAACATAAATAAACTTTATGACACTCGAGTACTTCAATTTATGCCTACCATATATACATAAATATCAGTAAGTAATCCACTTTTGTAATATATTTTCTCAAAGTCTTGGTACTAGAAAATATCAACATGTAATTAAAGACATATGGTATGCATTGCAGCAGGGGATGCCAAATATCTCAAACATACAGGGACCAGCAATAAATCACATGGTCTTAAACAGTAACTTAACAATGTTAGGGACAAGGTGGGCCAACTCTGCTTCACAATCAGAAAATATTTGACCTAATTTTATAGTTTTGTGCAAATAATGCATTTTATACAGATTAAACAAAAATTCATGCACACACACACACTACATTTTGTGTAATGTAATGTCCACAATGCTTTGAAGGTCAAACAAATCCAAAGTGTCTTGTAAATACCCGTGTTTAACAAACGGAGACCAAATGTCGAAAACTTAATTCCTTATGGTACTTCCACATTCACTGAGCATTAAACACCTTCCTTAATGAGAAATTCACTAAAAACTCCTATGAAACTGGTTATTTGTTTGCAAGATCACCACAGGGTGCACACATATATTTGTTTTAGATGACACCAGGAGTCATTCCCTATTACTATCAAAAAGCATTACGAAACCAGTCTTTATAAATATTTCTAGTCTTTGAAGTACAAAAATTCAATCATAAGTTTTATTTAACTCGTGCATTTTTGAAACAGATGTCAAAAGAATACATCCTAGTTGTCTCCGAATTTTAGCAGATAAAATGACTTTTGAGAAACATTTTGCTTTTTTTTTTCTTCATATAATAGCTTGTTTGTAAAAAAAATTGGGAACATCTGTAACTTGTTCACTTTGTGGGATATTAACTTCACTGAAAAAAATGGGCAAAAACAAATTATGAAAAAAGTTACAACACTGAAAACTCATGTGAATGAAGGAAAAAAGCTGAAGGTTTTTCTAATCTCTTTATTATATTATTAAAACATATCAGAAATATACCTGAATCTTCGAACTGTAATAGTCTGGAACTGGAAAAGTTTGCTACAATACTCACGAAGACTTTGTGGATCTATAAATGAATAAGATAATTAAATGAAATAAGATTCTTAATTTTGAAATTTAAAAGAAATATTAAAAATAGTGTTGTTTAAGAAAATAATTGAAAATATAGACTTTCGCCTGCAACTTCTCCACGTCTGTTTGTCCGAAGGTTTTGGAGAATCACAAGTGTGAGGGGGGGGCACAAGCAATTAGGATAGAGTCAATAGTGCAAAATTCAGCATTTTTTAATATATTTTTCATTAATTAAAATAACAAGTTTGTTTTTGAATTTCGTGCAAAGCTACACGAGGGCTATCTACACTAGCCTTCCCTAATTTAGCCGTGTAAGAATAGAGGGAAGGCTGCTAGTCATCACCACCCACCGCCAACTCTTCTACCAACGAATAGTGAGATTGACCATCACTTTATAATTCCTCCATGGCTGAAAGGGCGAGCATGTTTGGTATGATGGGGATTCGAACCCACAATCCGCAGATTGCGAGTCGAGCTCCCTAACCACCTGGCCATGCCGGGCCCGAAATAATAAGTAATCACTATAAAATATACAGTATTTTAATGCATATCCATGTAATACATTTTGTCATTTAATTCATTTAAAAAAAAAAGAGGTGGGCACACAAGAAACCATATTTATTAAAGGGGTTTTGGATGACAAAAGTTTGGGAAATTTTGTGTTACGACACAAACTACGGACATGAACAATATTACAGTTGAATGATACAAAAAAAAACACCTTCTCCAGTGTAGTCACTAGAGACATTTCCACACATTAGTCAATCACATTTCTACAATAGCACGTGGGATGATTAATTAACACATTGCTAATTTGTCAATGCATTGCTGGCTTGTCCACTCAAAACTTCACAAGGCCCAATATTATCATTACACCTATATAAATATGACATTCTTCTAAACTAGATTGTATATTTAACCAAGCAAGTGATTTTGACATTCATTGACTTTACAAATACTTTTAAAATACAGACTTTAACACTCTGTCAACAGCATCAATCCATTTGACCAATCCTCTTTTTGTGCCGCTATAAATAAATAATGTTTAATTGGGATTCTGAATTTACTAAATGTATCTTCATGAAATTTGAAAAGCTTTTAAAATATAATGTTACGAGCCTGTGGTAAAAAAAACAACAACAGATTTTTAATTAAGTATTTTTACTAAAGATTTGTGTGTGTATTTATGATGCTATTACTGAATCAGACTGAGTGAAAGGTGATTTTCATGAAAAAAATAAAAAAACGTCTTTCTATATTACAGTTTTCATATTTCATTTCCAGAACCTCTAGAAGCTCCTAGATGAATATACAAAAGTGTATTTTCGGTAAAACTTCATATTTTATTTCTTATACAAAATTAGAATCAATATATTTATCTAGAATTACAATTATTACAATTACAATTATTTACTGTAAGAACCCCAACTATCTAATCTCTTCAGATCTACTTCCTTTTAAGTTTGTTACTTTACGATGCCCTTTAGACTGTTACCTAAGTATGTGACAGACAGTTAAACAAGCAGGAGAACTGCAAACAACTGATAAAGTTACCATCACATGATGCAGTTAGCCCAAACTGGCTTGGGGAAACTTTTTTTTTTTATGTTATCTAACCTAGTAAGTTTTTACATCTTAGTTACTTCTGTTAAAAGACATATCTAATAAAATAAAAATATAAATAAAAAACTAAAAAACACATCAAGCACAAGAATAGAGTGTCCCAACACTACTAACTGGCTTTACAGTATGGGTTAGAAAAATTGTGTTAACTGCTCAGAGCAGAAAAACATGATCACAAACAATCTAATAATGAGCACCAAATCATAACAACAATACAAGAAATCTTGTAGACAAAAAGCTGCTCTTTCTACTAATTATAAATAATTCAAAGGCAGCGTCAGAAAAAAATAATCACTTTTTTTGAAAAGATAGAATGACATGTAATGGGCATGTCATGTGGGCTTGACATATTTTTATATATCTCAGTAAATCAAAAAGATTGGAAGTTTTATATTGTGGTTTCTCGGTATCTATAATACTTGATTCTAATTAGTTGGTCACTCTGAATAGATAGAAAATCTTAAATGGTTAATTTGGAGTGCAGATGCAACATGTAACACAGACAAGTGAAGACTGAGAATTTTATTAATGGTTCCCTTCGAAATTAAGTTATTAAAATTATGTTTAATACCAAGTTTATTGACATCCATTAATAATAGTTGTTTAATTGAATTTTGAATCTAACTCTGTAAAAGGTTGTGACGTGTGCTTTGACCTGCAGGGTTAATAAGTTTACTAGGAGGCCTGCTCTTATAATGCACCCCTGGCTACAAAGTGCAAACCCATGATCCAGCAAAACACGAGAATATTATGCAAATGTTTGATAATAATGAGAAGTTGTATTCATCTATTAAAAGCTTTAATGTGTTTACACAGACTAGTCTAAAAACATGTTTTACATTCAGTTCAAAAAATAACATTCTCACACATTTTACATTTAAAAGAAAAAAAACTTTATATGAATTTTCTGTACACATTAAGTAATTCTGTTGTAGCGTAAAGAGATCGGGTTCAAATATGAATTCCTTTATTAAACTGTGACCTTTTTTCTCTCTGTAAACTTTTCGTTTCTTATTACCTATAGACTGTTCTTTCTTATTTTCTTGTAAACTTTCCACTTTAGCCCTTGGAATGGTCTCTGTAGCTGACAATGATTCTGAAATATAAAAAAATAAGACATAATAATCAAATTTCACATTACAAATCATGTTGAATTTGAATAATTCTTTAAAAAATTGCAGTTATCTGATATGCTATGAACAGTATATAAGAATATCTCCAGGATGAAAAAATAAATGATAAACATCTACAACTTTATAAAGCTTACGATTTAACTGCAAGATGAATATTTTCAAACCTCTTTACAAAAAAAAAACAAACTACAAATCTTAAAACATTATTCAATAAAATTATTAAATTATCAAAATACTGGCTACACCATTAAATATTTCTAAATTAATATAAAGTTACTTTTTTAAGTTCCCTCAAACTTTGTTGTTGGTGATAAAGATATACAAGAACAACTGATAGAAAATAATTTTCTTTCTTTTAACTATTACTTGATAGAAATACAGAATTTGTATTTAAAGCTAACCTAAATCTCCTAAGCTGGCCAAACCTCACGATTAGGATTATGGTAAAAAATACCGCTCCCAACATGTATCAAACATGTAATGTGATGCTCGGACTATGCATTTAGAACAGAGTATATGTAAAAAAATAAACCGAGAAACGAAAAACTAAACATAGAAAGGCTGTTTAGTCATCAACATACAAACCTTCTTCAATTTCTTCTTCATTTCCAGCACTCCCAAGGTTAGTAGATGTTTCATTTTCTTTCTCAAGCTCTCGCTTGTAATGAAGGCACGGAACTGATGAGACTGGAACCTCATGTTTCTGTACGAACATTAAAAGAATAATTATAAATAAATTAAAGGTGTGCTACTTCATACAATTTTTGTCATTAGCTCGTCATGTATATATAAACAAAGATCCAAAACAGTGATTGGTCACTTTACACTTCCAATAGAGTAGTGGTTCTCAACCTCTGTATTTTTGAAGGAAAAAACAAAATCTGGCTCACTAAATAAGTAAGCTGTTATAGGTTTTCAAAGCCTATTCATGACCCTTTCACACATTCTGATGAGCCATTTTTTGTACCGTGATCCACGGGTTGAGAAATGCTGCACTAGAGGTAAACGTGTAAGAATTTATCAGTATTTCTCTCAGTAATATTCTTGAGAAATGATTTTCTCTTGACACAATTAAATATAACCAAAACAGTTTTTTCTGTTAAAAATGGTTTCACTTCTTTGAATCTACTCCACAATGTACAAGTTTAAACATAAGAACTTTATTGTAAAGAAAAAAAAAACCTAGTAGATTTTTAAAACAAAGAATATATTTTCATTAAAGACTGTAACTCTTTCAGCATGGGCTCGGTCTATAGGACCGACCTTGTAACCATTTTGTGCTTGTTATAATTTTCATGCTATAAATTTTATATTAGTTAGCATATCTTCATGAAATTTGGCAGACTTTCAGTAAACATTACAAGGCTTTTGTACGCGAAGTATCAGAGTTTTAAAAATTAAGTCTTAAGCTTTATCTCATGCTTTTTTTTCTTTTCACATGTTGTCTATCCAATGTGCAAAGTAATTTTCATTTTAAGATTAGAAATACTTTTATGCATCAGAAAATTTTCAAATTTCACATGAATCCTTATAACCTCCAGATAATTATCAAAACTTTTTAAAGAAAAAACGTTGTATTTTATCCATTCTTTTCATTATTAAATCTCTGTATGGATTCGGTAGATTTGACCAATCTTGGAACCACCATTAAAAAAAAAAGGAAATAAATATAAATTATGCTTTCTTCATTCTAGAATGACTACCAGTTATAACTCGAAAACACAAATATTTAGTTTAAATAGCTTAAACTTCATAACATTATACATTGATTATTTTTATTATATTGACCTTTTAGCCATGCCTGGTTAACATCACAGAAGATACAATGACATGGCACACGTGCATTCATGTCACCATATTCAATAATATAAAACTGACCTTTACAAAGTGTCCTGTCATGTCTGTGTTTTAGTGGACTGGTCTTTTGTGAAATACAGTCACATTTCAGTTATAATACATTATATATGTATACACATTATTACTATTTACAAATAGGTTCTTAAACTAATTTCTCTTAAAACTTAGAACAGTAAATAAACAAGTAAAGCAAACAATTATATCTTCTAGTTACATCCTTTGTACTCGTTTGCTGCTTGGCGTAGGTTGCTAAGCCTTATCAAATTTTTCACGTGGAGGATATGAAATGAAATTATTTTTTTAGGATTTATATATATACATTTTAATTAATCCAAAAAATCATAAATTACTAATTAATCTAAGTTTCAAATGGGCAGCAACTGCCTGTTGTAGAAACCTACAAATGTAGAGGACAACGTTTCGAAAGTCTTCCGCCTTTCCTCTTCTGAAGACGAAAGGCGGAAGACTTTCGAAACATCGTCCTCTACATTTGTAGGTTTCTACAACAGGTAGTTGCTCTCCATTTAAAACTTAGATTCATTATGAATACTCTGCCTAAACAACCTATCAAATTACCATAAATTACTATGTTGATACCATACAATTCCACTAATTTATCAAGGTTAGTAGCTATGCAGTATTTGGGTCTAAAAAAAATAAGAAATTTCAAGCAGACTAAAGACATAACTTACCAACTTGAAATCTTGTATCAAAAGAACATGTTGATGTCATAGACAGAAGTAAGTGTATATGAAGAAGTGTTTCCAAAAATGGAAAGAGGTGGGCAGGGCCAATGTGTTTGATTCAATACATGAGCAATATCTCAGCAAATACAAAAGACAGGAGGTTCTTATTTTATATTCTAGCTTGTTAATATTAGTAATTCGAGTTCCTAATTCGTAAGAAAGTATAGACTTTGTATTTGGACATCACAAACATCTAATTTGAATCAGTGCTGCATTCAACTTTCCACATGACACACAAAAATTTAACTGTGTTTTTTAATATTTACTTTAAGAAATTAAATAATGTATAATACTAAAATTTGAATTATATTCTACAATTTGATACCAAACTTATTGACATAAGTTCAAAAATAGCAGTTCAATAACATTTTGAATGCAAGTAAACAAACACGCTACCATGGCCTTTGACCTGTATGGAGAGGGTTAATATAGGTGAATTGGCCATTGTGAATGAAAATTTTTATACAAGCTTCTTAAACAACTCTAGAGTTTCTACATCATTTCAAAAGCTGGTATTACTTTATGGTCATCTGATGTAGTGCAGCATCCTGAATACATATTAAGGTAATTTATGTGCAGGCTGAGAATAAAACTGTTTACTGACACAATCAAAACTTGACAATAAAGACAGATCACTTTTGTAGCAAGTTAAATTTCATACTGTGTTACATTAAATTATATTAATACATAAAAGCTTCTAGCAAATAATATCAAACTGTTTTATGGGCTTCAATAAAATAATAATATACTTCATACACAAATCACTCTGGACCCATGAGGATAAAGTAACGATAGTCACCCTGGACCCATCTTGAAATAAAACTTAAAAAGTGACGAGTAATGAACTTTTCTGTGGATTATAAAATCGACAACTTACTCTAGCACTCCCAGGGCCCAGGAAGTATGGTTTAGATAGTGTACACACTCGTGTCTGTCTGTGCAGGTAGACTGGCATTCCACTGTTATGGCCGACTTCAATCCAACCTTCAGGAAGCATGTCGAAATGGTCGTGGCCTCGCACTGGAAACCAGTTGTCCAAGAAAAGGTAAGACATACTAAAATAAACTGTTTTATTTTGATAATATAGATATTTGATAAATGCTCTTCAGTGTGAAAATCATTTACTACGATAATCGTTATCACTTCTTAGTTTTAATTAAGTCTTGTTTCACGATGTCAGCAGTTTTATAGTGTGTCAAATGAATCTTTCATATTAATGCTATCAGTGCTCCAAAGTTTCTGTAACTCAGTTTTTTTCTTTTATTTTTAAGTGCAAAAGAACAGATTCCACGGATAATATACTTTCACATCTTAATTAAGAACAGGTACAAATCTGAAGGAGTCACTACATCAAATGGCAGACTTAAGTGTTTATTTCGATTAGAGCTGGCCATTAAAAATCAACTAAAAAAATTAGATATGAGCATCAGTTCATTGATTAAAGCTACACGAGATAATCGATTAAGCAAAATTACAATTAAAACAATTTATATCATGAAAATGATCAACTAGTGATACCAATTATTAACGTTTTTGATTATTCCAGTTGGCATTAGTAGGTTGAAAGATTTATAGTACCAAAAGGTAGAAGAAGCTTCTAGTATCAATCAGCAGAAAGGCAAGAATATTACAATCAATATTACCAATAAGCAGAGAACAAGCATTTTTAGGACCGGTAGTTATTAAGTCAACATTTGTAGTAACAAAAGATAAAAGAAAACAGCTACAATAGAAAAAGTGCTTTTGTGTTCAGAAGTTAGAAGAGAGAGAACAATTATTGTGATGGCAGGCAGAAGAGTAAGACCTAAAAGGTAGAACGTACAGAACAAGAACGATAAATACAACACGGAATTTTATAGCAACCGCTACTATTAATTTGGGTTAACAGTACAAATTCCTTTGCTCAATGTTCAAAGTATTTCTCAAAGTTTATTACAAAAACACCCAGAGAATCTTCATACGTTCTCCATTCATAATTTAAAGATATTGTTTTTAAAAGCATACGACTGTTTTTTAATAATTACAGAAAAACAATTGGATTATTTGTATTACCTAATAAGCCCAACATTTTATAATCTTAAAAAATCAATTTCAGCCTATGCTATCTAACAATGTAGAACCTTTAAAAAAAGTTTCCAATGTACATGTAAAAACAGCTTGAAGTTTTCTAATACACATATAATGCAAGTCTCGTGTTTTTAAAGTTTAATACCCACAAAAGAGCATTTACTATCTTTAATTACAAAACTCGATGTTTTTTTTACTGAATAATTTTATAGAGCAAGTTAACATAAATACAGTACACTGATGTTGCGTACAACAACAGTACCCACCAAAAGTCTGAATATAGTGATACACTTTTGTGTAGTGACAATTATTTGCACCAGAACACATTTAATGTTAAGCTTGTATTTATTCTTGACATACATAAATTTCTCTTCAGTAATCAGTGTGAAAACATTGGGTTTTCTTTTGTGGGCCACCGAGGCTGCGAGAAGCTATAGGTATAGTTAACGGTAATCTTCCTCAACCATATCGGTGATGCTAGTCATCTCTTTGGCACTCTTAACTTTCAAACAGTGTCTGTGATCTTCATCTTGTTCCTGTGTGGACTCTTGAATATTCATTACCCATTCCTGATCCTTCCTGTTGATGTGTGCTTTTGGTCACTATCCTGCTGGAAAATAAAACCTCTATCAAAGAGTCATATTCTCCTTAAGATGGAACAATAGCCCTCCTTATTTTTATAATATCCCTAAAACTTGCACCAGAGAAGGAATACCAGACCACTACACATTCCAATTTGTACTTCTTCCTCTGGCACAGACATCCAGCGAGGAATGTTGAACAACTCGATTTTGGTCTCATCAGCGACAGCACCATCTTCCATTGACCACCTCAATTCTAATGGTCTTAAACAAACTGAGTCTTCTTGACCAAAACTTTCCCTATTTAACGCTCTGCATTTAGCCTTCTTCTTGTTGTGTTGTTGGACACATTAAAATCAATGCTCTCAATTCAAAGTTCGAGTACAGTAGAAAATCTGTCTGCTAAAGACATCTTGGTTAGTATTCTATCCTTATATTCTGTAGTACCCTTTGGTCTCTCACTCCTCTTTCTTCATTTGTATTTACCAGTTGTTTTGTTAGTATTTGATGTACAGTATTTAGAGAGATATGCAGTTTCTGAAGAACAGTTTTGTATGAATGATGAGCAACAATAACAACCTGAGATCTTGTTTCAGATGAAAGTTTTTTTTCATTCTTCTTCAGTAATTTTGCCATCAAAAACCCTCAAATTAACATAACATATATTCCTATGTAAATTCTCTTGGTAAAAAGTGTAGTAGAGTAACGTCTTGAACTGGAAAACTAGGGTAAATGACCTGAAATTTATACTTTGATGGTGAAAACCTGACATAACTGCAAAATCATGAATACTATAAACACATGGTTTTAGTCTCATGCATTCTTCAGAGAAAGCTGTATTTTTTAGAGTAAGTTATGTTTCTTACAAAACTACGCCTATTACAAATATAAGCACCAATATACTGGTCTCCTCGGAACATTTAAGATGGAGTATTCAGACTTTTGGAGAGTAGTATACCTACTGTTTTTATGTGATCCTTTCAGGATAGGAAAGGTAATTGAAGCATATCAAATCAAATGCCCTAATTCAGAGTTTACCACATAACTCATCTTATAGTTTCTTTTTTCTTTAACTCACCTTTCAAAACAACTTTATGCCTCTCTATGTGAGCAAGATCATCTCCTCCTCCAGCTTCAGTAGATGTGGCACTTGTTTCAAATTTTTTCTGACGAGCAGCTTGAAGCCCTTGTTCAAGCATAGCATCAACTTCATCTTCCAAGATATCGCTGTCACTTCCATCAAAACTATCTTCATCTTCATTATCATCTTCACCTCCCAACTCAACCTCATCCAAGATATCAAATTCAACTTCATGACCTGAATGTTTTTCTTTAATCGCCCCAATTTCACCATCTGTGTTATTCTCTACTATCTCTGACCCCTCCTGATCTTTTATTCCCTCTTGATAACAGTTGCCTTCCCACACGTCATTAGCATCGGCCACACGTCTTATCTTGCTATGAGAAGAAAATTTATTCTGCGTGTTTATTAATTTTCTTTTCTCTGGCATCCTACACGATGCACCGGGTACGCCCTCCAGTTTCATCTCATCGGCAGGACCTGAAACACTGCTGCACATGTTCGATGACTTGATTTCCTGTTTGATTGCTTTTTCTTGCTGTAATTCATTTATTGCCTGGGATTTATTAATCAACAACAGTTCACGCTTCTGTAAGTCTGAATCTTTGGCAAAACGTAAACTTAATGTTGCATTTCTACTCGGTTCAGAGTCTGGGCCATAGCTATCATCTAATTCACTTGTAACTATATCTGGACCAAGTAGATCTGCGTTTGTAAAACTTTCCACTGACCACGATGCATCATTATCATCTCTGCCTCCCAACTCAACCGTATCTAATTCTATTTCTTTACCTGGCTGTTTCCTTGTTTTCACTCTATTTTCACTGTCTACATTATTCACTGATTCCTCCTGATCTTTTTCACGATAATGACTGCCTTCCCACGTATCAAGAGGTTCATTTATACGTCTCACCTTGATACAAGAAGAAAATTCATAAGGTGTGTTTGTTAATTTTTTATTCTTTGACATCCTACAAAATGCAGAGGACACATCCTTCAGTTTCATATTGTCAAGAGGTCCAGAAACAGTGCTACACACATCAGATAACTTGTTTTCTAGTTTGTCTTCCTTCCCACGTTGTGGTTCATTTACTGATCGAGGCTCATTGTTCTGTGATAGTTCAAACTTGTGTAAAATTGAATCGCCACAATCGGGATTATAACTATTATCTGAATCAAGCGGGCCTGTGTTTGAAGAACTTTCTACTGGCCAACATGCTTCATTTGAATCACTACACCAATTTTCTTCCCGTGAAATGTTTTTATAAAATTGTTTTTTATCACAATAAGATTCAATTTTGTTATTAATACCGTTACATGACTGAGTTGTATTTGTGGTCAACACTACTTCCCCGTCCGTAAAGCTGTTAGGACCTGTATAGTGTGATGATTGACAATGATGGAATCCAGTTTTAAAATTAGTTGCTTCAGACTTTGAAGTGTTTGTAAATGATGATGATTGTGAATTCTGTGCTATGGCTGTCTCACCCCCACCATGCCCAATGTCCAACCTCTCACAAAACTGATTGGACATATGCATGTGCAAGGGTGTGGCAGGCTGATTTTTATCACATTCAGGTTTTGAATGTGCCAATGTGTCATTTTGACGTGAAGTTTTATTGAGAAACTCGAAATCAAAAGTATAGTTTTCTTGTGACATTTTTTTCATTCCTTCCTTTCAGTTAAAAGCCAATAATATTAACAAGCAATTTCTTTATACTTTTTTTCTTCACGACTCTTCTGTACCGTTTGTTATGAACAAACTTCTGTGTGCTCTTCAACCTAGAAGTAAAAAAAATTCAGGAGTTAGGTATATTTTAATAAAATGGCATGAGTTTAAAAATTCGAAATTATGGAAATTGAATTTTATATTCCCTTTAAAAAAAATCAATCACTGTATTTAAAAAAAAAAAAGAGTACTGGGGTTAAACTAATACACAATGTTAAAAGTGGTCAAAATATGTGATGTCTGAATTTACAAGAGAACAAGTAGTTAACATTGAGGTTCACTTGAACTTGGCCAATAAAACATTATCCACCATTGAAATGAATTTCATTTTAAATTTTTTAAATTAACTATTATAATTAGAAGAATATTGCAATAATAAACTACACTATATAACCTGAAATTTGTCTTATTTATAATTATATTTAATTTGATGGGCACAGAAGAGCATGTTTTTTTAAATTCATTACAATTTGCTGTTTGCATATTGCAGAATTTTTACACTGATCAAAAAATGCCTTAGTACAAATACTTAATACTGAAAGCTTGCCAAATTTCACAAAGACACAAAAAACATTAAAAGTTACAGTATAGAAACTTTGGTGGTTAAAAGTCAGTCACATTGACTGACCCCTTATGTAAAGAGTTAAGCTCTCAGGGACAATTAAAGCATACATTTAACACAGTGTTTTCTTGATATTTGATTGATAAAATTAAGACTGGTATAACTTTTATTCAACAGTAAACCCCCAAATTAAAGGTAACTGCCAATCAATAATGGCTGCACAACTCATCTGTGAATTTTTCTTTTCCTCACTAAAACTTGTAATTTCACTTTTCAGTGAAGAAAAGTTAGAATCCTTGATAGCAAACTAAAGTTTCACATAGTTTCATTGTTATAACCAATAAAAGTTTCTCTTTTAAACTGGCAAGTACGTATATTTACTAATTTAGTACACACAAAAAGGGCGTTTTTAAATTTGTTTAAGCAGATCCACATCTTATTTCTCCCTAAATTAAATAGCACTATTTTTGTTCAAGATCAATAATAATGGCAAAAAATAACGGTTGTGATAAAAATTAGAAATAACCGTTTCAAATATCTCGAATACAATTCACAATTGCAACCTATTATGCATTTACAGAAATGCGGGCCTTGCACTTATTATTAACAGTAGCTTCACTACAATAGTCAATAATACGAGTACGAGTTAGAACTTACAAATACTATTGTGGCCTTAGGGAAGTTAGGCTTAGTTTAGACTAAGTTATAAAATTAGTATTAACTTATACGGAACAATGAAGAACTAAGACTTATGAAAGAAAGATGCACGTGTAAGATAAAAAGTTTAAAAACAAATAATACGTACTTCCAGTTTTATAAATCGCTAGCTTTGAATGCTACCTTACCTCAATACATCACATTCAAAGCCTAACGCCATTTATCGCCAACCTTCACCAGTCTTGTAACAGTACCATAAGAGCCATCTGGCGAAAAACTAAACTGTCTGCCTCAAAACATAAATTACTCGTCATACACGTATGATATTTTTTTGTGGACCCTTTATATATACATATATATATATTATAATTTTTTGGTGATTATTAAAACACTTCATGCTAACTTTTGTACTTTAAACATGTATTTTACAATTTACTTTAACAATTGGGTAAATCAATATTAAAGAATAAGGAATCTTACCACTAATAACTTTCTCCCTTACCACCAATAACGAATTTCTTTGTTATTCATTCACCTTCCCCGAAGTTCTTTTTCTTCCGAGTGAAAGATTTCCCTGATTATTTCTAACAATTATTTAAAAAAAGAAGAACCTGTAAATGCCTGAGATGTAGACATTTTAGGGTTAGCCATCTATGTTGTACCAACAGAAAGAATCAAACATCGAATTAGCGACGATGATAAATAGCTTTGGTAGTGTTACGACAGCGGAAGTCACGTGGCACTGGTAGCGTTCATGAAGTTTCTCGAATTATCGGGGAAGATCGAGTTCGTTCGAGACGCCCTTTTCTTTAGTTTTTAAGCCTGGTAGAGAAAGCCAACGGGTTATATAAAGTGTTACAAAATAACATGCAATAACTGCTCAGAATTCTACATTGGAGAAACAGGAAGAAAATTGGAAACCAGATTGACAGAACACAATAAAAAACCGTCCCATGTTTTTCACCATTGCAACTCAAAAACCATAGTATATCTATTAAGAACACAGTGATATATATTTTAAAACATGAAAGCAAGCTTGTGTATTTATAAATGTTTACGAGCTTTCGATTAAAGTTTCAGCATATATCTTCAGGTACGTTTTATTTATGAACTAAATGTATATATATATATATATACATAAATACTAATTTCGTTTGTTTACTTTTTTATAAAACAAATCATACCATTCTCCTTATGAGCAGCCTGGTGGTTAGAGCGCTTGTCGAAACCCGTCAGCCATGGGGCGTTATAACGTAACGGCCAATCTCACTATTCATTGGTTAATAGTAGCCCATGAAATACGGGTGGTACTATTGACTAAATGTCTTCCTTCTAGTATACAACTTTAAACTTAGGGACAGGTAGCACCAATAGCCCTAGAGAAGCTTTGCGTGAGATTTAGGAAGCAAATAAACCCTCATGATTTAGCACAATTATACCATATACATATTTTACGTCAGCGTTTCTTTTTATCTTGCAAACTGCTTGAAAAAGCCTTAAAATGTATTTCAACCAAGGAATAATTCTCTCAAACTTCTCAATTTCAAAAATAATTTCACGCAATAATTATTTATTTGTTCTCTGTGCTTTATTTTATCTGGATCTGATCAGGAGTATCATTTCGGAAATATACTGTGTTCGTAAACTCTGAACATTGGTTAGAATTAGATTATTTTTTTGGTTTAGAATTTGCAAGCAAAAGTAAACAAAGTGCTTCTTGCCCACAGCTGTCCCTAATTTTGAACAGATAGAGACAACAGCACCCATAAATAACTCTTGTCTTACGGAATAATGTAATTTGACCGTCACTCTTATAACTCATCCACGGCCCAAAAGTTCGCAGTTGTGTTGTTTTTTATTCTCGGCAATAGGTCGCGAACCACGAACTCTTGGATTCACGTTTGAACCACTCTAACACTGCTTGACCCTGTAGATAATTTAGGCCACGCGATCTCTTAAGAGAACGTAATGAAGTATTATCTTTCTACGTATAGACATTATGTTTAAAATTGTGATTAACGTGCTCAAATATTACACGTTGCGAGGAAAAAAAACCTGAACAAAAGACAAGCAGAATACAAATAATTTAATGTTCCAATTGGGGGGTAACGAAGGGAACACTGTTTCTATTGAAATAAATGATGTCAGAAAAAACACGTAGGTTCGAGAAGTTTTGATACAAAATGATAAAAACCTATAAACCCAGTGCTTTCGAGAGGCGGACCTTTCTTCTTCAGGGGCAAACTGGGAATTCTATTACAATCTATTGTAATAAAATCATCCATAAGCGAAAACCTTTCAAGAGTTATGCTTCACTGACTAGAATCAATGGAGGCACGGAGATGTAGTATAGTGAAGTAATATATCTTTTCCACGCCCTTTAATTGTGTTGTTTTTCGTAGTTCCCCTTTTGGAACATAACGACACTCGACTGAGTTATTAACTTTCTCTTTCCTAAATGGGCAAACTACCAGGCTATATGTGGATTAAGAGCCAGCTCGCCTGATTCACTTACAGGAATAAACAACATTGTTTTTACTTAGTGAGCTGGGTTATTCTTGTCCACGAATCACATAACAGTTCTAAATGGACTCGCCCTTGATTTTCACTCCCAATTGGCCAGATGATCTAACATTAACCAATCCCTATAATCTGGTGTCAGGAACTTGAAAATTTGGGAGAGCAGAATGTCAGAGATTTAAAAACCTTTCACAGAGTTGCATAAGATTTAATAAAGTTTAGATGTAGAAGTTTAAGAGGGATTTACGAGATCGTTCATAAGATTTTTTAAAAAAAGTGTGTTGTGCATGCATTTATTTCATTTTTTGTGTTCGGTAAATATTCATAAGAGACTTGTTGGTTTTTGCTACATGTCCATAACTTTTAATCTAGACTGAAAACCGTTATGGCTCTATTTTTTTCTCATCATAGCAGAGTTAGAGGGTTGCGGTAAGCGAACGTGGTTTCAGTTTTGTACGGAAGGTTGTGAACATTATATTGTACAATGGCGGAGGAAGTGCCTTTAACATACCCACTCTTCAATTTGTCCTAGTAGCAAGACATCAAAATTAGGAAAATTACTCTGGGGAAAAGCAAGATAATATATAAAATTTAATCCAGACACTGTTGTGTCATCTTAACTTTAATGTTTACTTTACGAAATGAATAGTGTTTCGAAGAATGATTAACTTTTGTTAGCCATAACGCAACGTTTGAGCTTTTGATTTTAACTTGAAGTTAATGCAATTTGAGTACATTTATTGTTCAATTCGCATTTTACTTTTAATAATCAGTGGCCTAGTTGAAATTGCAAGGGAAGAACTAATAAGAAAGCTCAGTTAATAAAATCTTTATTTGGCCATTATCAGCTCCACTTGTACACTAATTAATTAATTGCTCTCGACCTTTATTATATTGTAGTCAGGGGTGGTATTCAGGTTAACTAGCACTCTAGGGTTACAATTTTAGATGCGCCCCTTCCTTCTCAAATGACTCACCAGGAAGGATACTAAAGCCCAACAATTTGAAAGGAGCAACTAAGGGGGAAAAAAATTCCAAAATAAATTTATTTTCAGTCTATGCGATTTGTCACCCACCTCGAGTAAACACTTAAGTACAGCTAAAGATTCAACAGCGCACAGAATACATAAAACGTACGTAAATAATGATCTTAGGATAAATATACATGCTTAAACTGCATTAAAGGCGTTTGACAGACTGCTCTGTCACACTTAAAACTTAGTTTCTCAAGGTAGGAAAACGTGATTAAACTTGTACTTTGAAACAGATAATGCTGTTCATTTAATTAGGTGTTATTGGCGAATCGATCGAGCAACTGAATATACATTATAACTAACATTGATCTTAGTTTTTTTTTTTTGCTGAATGACTGGCACTCTACTAACTGAAAACTGACTCAGTGCTTCACTTATTCTCCAGCTTATAACGTAGTCTTGTTTCTAGATGTTTCGCAAATACCCGATCATTAACATTCTAAGGCTACTTTTATAAACTTTATTTTATCGTCATGTGCCCTCTAGTTAACACCTAAACTAAAAAAAAATTAAATATAACTTACAATATTAAATTGTACACTAGTACAGGTAAGTTTATTTGTACGTTAAAGTCACCGTACCATCAGCGAGTATAAATTTACATTGAAAGTAGAAACTTTATTGGTGAACTTAAGCCTATAACTGTGAACAAGTGATAGTAGCCAGTAGCAAACGTTAAGGAAACAATAAACTAATTTATTGTTTTTACATAGACTGGACTTCGCATTATTTTTATCAAATAACTGGAACCCGTTCAACGAAAGAACACATTACAACACTTTGTGTGTTATGTGTAAAATATTACGAAACACGAATTACCAAGTCTTCCACACGTGACGAATAGCCTGAAAGTTTGTCCTGTATTTCAGTGGTTGCAAAGTTTTAAATTAATTCTGTTGCGCATTTTACATCTACTTAATAGAAAAATCAAAACATACATAAACACTTTTATTGGCAATAAATACCTACAATGACAATCAATAAATAACATCTTCTTTTAAGCAAACTATATTAGCATATAATCGATTATTAAACGGTTTTAATTATTTTGTTGACTATTCCATACGGTTTAATAATGAACACCTATAAATATGACATAAAAAACACACTTATTTACTGTAATCTGCTCAGAAACTACTTAATACTTGTGCATCGTGTCAACAAAATACTCGGGGACTAAAGATCCCTTAATCTTTAAAATCTCTATATTATAAAACTAATTAATAAAAAAAAAGGCAAATTTTTATGAAACTTATTTGGCTGATTCATATACTGATAACACATTCTAAAGACATTTTTATAAAGTTTAAAAATTTTCTTAAAATGAGTAAAAATATTCAGATTATTAAGTTCTATGTCAGTATACAAAGCTTCAACAAATTCATGACAAGAACATATTTCTTTCCTCGCAAAGAATAAATGTACAAGAAATATATCTTTTAAAAATAGAATTGTTACAAATTAAATTCTGTTCATATCCTGCCTATTTTTATAATGGAAAAAGAAAAATGTAAACATATAATCAAGATTGCTAATCTAACACAGACATAACAGATGTCAGTTCAATTGAATAAACGTTTTAACACAAGATTCATTATATATCTGTTAAAACAATAAATATTACAATTACAGTATATTAACAGTGCTTACTCTGTAATATTACTGACAACGTGTTTTT